TTTTTCTGACCCCCAAAATTAAAATTCATTCAATACTATTGATTATATTATAAAAATAATAATCAGCTATTTGATTCAAAATATTTGTAATTTTCCAAAGCCAATTTATAGGCTTAGGTTGCTGATGATATCATATAATATTGACTTACTTATATTATTTAGTTGTTCTGCTCTTATAAACAAAGTGTTTATAACATGTTTCCTAGGTTCCTTTTATTCAATAAGATGGAGTATAGTTTATTGTATTAATAAATCTGAATTGTTATCATTTACTATTCATTTCATTTCTAGTTAATTTATTCGACTTAATTTGATTTTAGTTCTGTTCTTTCTTTTTATTCAGCAGTAAACAATTGCTAGAATAATTTACTCATCAATCAAATCTTACACAACTAGATAAGCGATTTTATAAGCATAAAGAGAAATATCAATTATTATTAAAAGATTTGATTCTCCACATAACTATATAACTCAGGACCCAATTGATAGTAACTGTTGATCTTAAATAATCATTGTAATAAATTATTAATTTTACTGATTATGAGCATATTCATTAAATAGTTGAACTTGTCTTACTCAAATTTAGTTTTAGAAGCAGTTTTTCAAGTCCCTTAAAGGAATTCATTTTTCGATAATGAAAGCAATCATTTAACAGGGCGATGCCTCTTTTGAAAGTAAAACCCACTTAACTAATGATGATCTTTTTATCTAGATGTTGGGAAATTTAATTAAGGAGATTAGAATTTTAAAATTAATTATTTAGAGGTCTCTATCTTTAAAAATAAGGTCAGTAAAACACAGAACTTCACTTAGCAATAAGTCTCACAAAAAGTTAGAAAAGAAATTGAAAAGGCTAGACAGTAGTGGCACTGAAATTAACAATAATAACACATGAAATGGAGTATTCCTATAAATGATTAGATGAAGGAGGAAATTTGAACCGTAGGTGCAATTGTTGCAACGAAAATTATAACTTAAAAAGTAGTTCGAGTGGGTTTAAGCTAAGAGGAGATTGAAGGGATTGAAACAATAAACAATATTATTAGCAATGCTTACTTAGCATAAATAATTGCATAAAAAGGAAATGAAAATAAATCTGTGGCTACGATTGCTTATATGGCTCGGTTACATCTGTCAATATCCTTTTGAAATGCTAGTGAGTTAATTAAATCACTTTTCGATTTATTAAAATTCAACAATCGTGTTCTCTTCTGTTTCCTAATACTTCAAGACTAAGCAGTAAACTATTAACAAAGTATTTTGTTATAATAAGAGTTTTAATAGAACCAAAAATAAAAAGGGAAAATAATGTTAAAAAATTTGGTTGACTAATTAAGTGAATCAATTAAAAATTGAGCAAAAAGAGTAATTTTAAAATATGAAATAACAATAGAAAATATCAAAAGTCTTTAATTATAATTTATAATTAATTTATTAGTTTAAGATTCTAAATGTGTGTTTGGCGGTTAAGGTTAGAATTCATTGCAATAACAGAAGAAAAATTGTAATCAGTTATAAAAAGTTTTGAAGAATAAATTTACAAGTAAAAAATGTGTTTCAATGGGTTTAAGCTTCAAGTAATTTGTTAATTTAAAATAATATTAGATATTAACTTTCTTGAAAACAGCTATATTTTATTTTTACATTTTCAAAAAAAGTTTATTGTTAACTGGTTATAATAATACAAAAAGTTGAACAAATAATAAATAATATCTTTTCTAAGACTGATTAATTAGCATTTTTGATGATCTTTTGTTTAAATCAGAAAGAGTTTTATCAGCATAAGTTTTAAGAATTATTTATTAAACAAACAAAAACTATTTTATAGTCATAAACAAGCTCTAAAAATAAATGAATCTTGAAAAATTTAGGATGAAGAAAGTATTAATTTAGATAGTAGAATTAGAGTGTTTGAAAAATGTAGCACCTTTATAATTCTATTAGTTTCATTTTGAATCAAATGAGAATATTTAAAAAGAATATACTATTTAATATAAAAATAAATGATAGCAAATTTAATTTTAGAAGAGAATGAGAAATGTTTAATGCAACTAATGCTTTAGACAGTATCAATTTAATATTTGAATGAAAATGAGTATCATTAAAAATCTTCATTTAAGTAAATGGTTTTTCAGCAAATTCTAGAATTTTATTTATCTAATTTATCTTTTCTATAGATTAAATCAAAATACAAAATAAATATTAGAGGAGAATATGTTGATAGGAGAAATGATTACAATGATTAAACATAACAAATTTGATTAGTTAAGAATAAAGAAACAACAACAGAATTTGGATTGAATGTAAATATAAGTTGAATTATTGATGAGTATATCTTTTATGTTTACTGTTCAAGATCAAGATATTAAAATTGATAATGCTTGTAAAGACTGAAGTTGGATTTTTAAGAAATAATAATGTGAAATGAAGAAAGAATATAATTATAGAAATACCTATAAAGAAATAAAGTTAAGGATAATTTTCTTCTTGAAATTTTAAATTTAACAAAGAGTCTCTTGATAACAGTTTACTAACTAAAAAGTATTAATTGAGATTTTTAAATGAATTATAATTAATTAACTAATTATTTTTTTCTATGTCGAATGATTTCATAATTGGAATATGTATTGTATCATTGTTGGAAATCCTTTTCGAAACATAATTCATTGCAATAAAGGAGATAATGCTAGGTAAAATTAAGTTTACTATAATTCTACATGAGTGGAGAGTAGGTGGGTTTAAAGAAAAGAGAAAAGGTTGGGTAAGAGAAAGGAGAAAGGAGTAAGCAATTGAATGAAAAAAAGAAGAGAATTATTTTTCATTTCTTTTTTTAAAATTAAATTATTTAAGATTTTTTCATACAACATTTAGTTCAATGAGCACATGCTTTCAACATCTTGTTTTAAAAATATATTATATTTGTACAGAATGTTCTACATTTGCTTGTGATAATTGCATAAAAGAAACTCACAAATAACATAACTAAAATATTTTCAATCTGGCAGATCTCCTTTAATAAATTTCTCAAGAGTGCGAGGAAATGCTAAAGTTTTTATGTTCCCTATTACATTTAAATTTCTGAATATATTGTTGAGTCATTTATGTGCTAGAAACGGCTATAAAAATTCTGGAAGAGTCACTTACAGAATAAATGGAATATTATTTATCATTGAATAAGTAATTTAATGTTTGTTTGCTTTGATTTTTTTTATGATCCTAGACCTGACAGATTCATTTACAAATAAACCTAGATTCTCAACAAAGCAATCTCAGTTATAAATAATCTTCAATTACTCTTTTCGAAAAGATTCACTCTGTTTAATTGAAGAAATATCTTATTCTTCCTTTATGGATAGTGATAAAAAGATTAAGAAATTCTGTTAGATGAATGATCTATTTGATTCTCCAGAATTTCTTTGAACACAATCCTTTCAATATAATAAGAAATTGAAATAACTTAGTTTAATGTTTGGTTGATTTTCAAAACATTAATAATTAAATAAATCCTAAACAAGCCTTTTGAATACTTTATTATTATTCTAAAAGATGATATTAAAATTGATAGATCAATAACATAGAGATCATTAATGATTGCAAATTTTCTTTAAATTAATATAATTGTAGTATAACGATATTTTTGTATGTATGATTAGCTAATGAAAATAGATGAAGAAATTAGAATACTGAATAAAAAATTGAATTAAACCGATTAAATAATCTGCTGTAGAATTGTTTCATCCAATTTATAATAATCATATATTTTGCCTGTTAATGAATTGAATTAGATCCAGAAATTAATGATTAAAGGCAAAATGTGGAGTAATATTTAAAGAAGAAATAAATATATTAAAGGAATATCAAGAAATTTATTTAAAAATTGGAATTATAATAATATAAAATTTTAAAACTATTTAAGGAATTATTAGATTAATTTTTCATAAGATGGAATAATATAATAATAATAATAAATTATAATAAAATAACTATAAGCTTGTCAATAAAAAGGCATAGAGTTATGAGAAGTTTTTGAGAAGGAGTAGAGAGATTAAATTTTATACTTTTAACAAATTCACTTAACACATACAATGAACTGAAATAGTAAGAGAAAGCTTATCAATTAAATTAAATAAACCAAAGAAAATTAGATTAGCAATTAAATCGATCATCATTTCCTTCATTAACAAAATAAATATCTAAATTATTCTAATAAAGAAAATTCTCATGAAAAATGAAATATTAGAATTTAGTAATGCATTCAAACATAATTCAGAAATATATGATCTGTTATTTGTTTAGTTAATTATTTAAAGCACAATCATTTAAAAAGATATTATGAAATAATGTAATTAGTAAGAAATTACAGACAAAGAGCTGGAAGTGTAAAATATATTCAAAACAGATGAAAACTACTTATTTCATAATGGCAATTAATCAATTTAAAAATTAGATAATAAGTATTTCAATAACAAAACTTGATTGCAAAAATTATACGAACGAAAAATATCAGACTGCAGTTATTTAAAAAATAAATCAATTTTTAATATTGTTAAATACTGAAATTTATACTATTTTTTTTGAATATTAATAATAATAAAAAATGATTTTTTTAACTTTGTTTATTCTGATAAATAGTTGCCCTTTGGATCTAATGGGATCACTAAGACATACATATTTACCCAACTAATGGAGAGTATTTAGAATATCCTATGAGATATTTTTTCTTTGGAAAAGATTTTATTTACCATTATGATCCAATTATACCCATAATAGAAATAACAAATACTTTAAATCCAATTTCATCAATAGATGGATATGGTATATTTACAATGATAATATTAGAATTTACATCAATATCATCAAATTGTACTCACTTTGCAACATTAACTACAAAAAACCAATTAATAATTTATGAATGGAAGAATTTTTAAATGTTAGAATATGGATATATTTTTAATATCAATACGGATTTTAATTGTTATAATATCAATTTGTATACTGAATATAATATCTTACTTGATTGTTATGCTTATAATCATTTTTATTTAGTTGCCTTTATGAATAGTACTTTCAATATAGTTTATTCAATTCGAGCAAACGAACCAAATTCATCAAAAATTTACAGAATTTATAATGATTAAAAATTATTTATAATTTATGCCTAATATTATCAAAATTATTCCATCCTTACATTATTTACATCTCAATATGAAAATTTAACAACTACTAAAATGAATTTATAGAATTTAGTGTTCCTGAGAGAAAATCCATATATTTATATCCTCCTAAGAAGAATATTATTATAATTTTATATCACATAAAATAATACTTTTAATGAAAACTATAAATTTACTTTTCCAAAATAACTAGATAATATTCAAGTTTATTATGACTACTAAGCTCCATGTGATTAAATAGAGGTTTTATCATATGATACTCAAAAAGGAAAATTTAATGTATTTACAATGTCAGGGTGTTAAAGCGGATTAACTGAAAATAGTAATGGATTTTCCTATTCTTCTAAAAAACTAGAACATGTGATTTAGTTTTTTTTTAATAATCAATTTGGATTATTTTAATCAGAAGATTTTCTCCTATTATATTCACAAGGAGTGCTTATTGGAAGTATTTTATTTGAAGAGGGCACTTAAATATTTTTTAATCCTTATAATAACTATTTATTTGTATTTGAACTAACAATTGCTGTCTATTAATTAGAGATACCTTCACTATAAATTAATCTAACAGATTAATAACAAGTTGGAAATACATATGATATTACAATTTTTGCTTAACATTTAAGGGAAAATATCAATGGTACTTGTGAACTATAAATGTCAATTACAATTTTAGATTAGAACGATACAAATATTTATGCATAAATACAACTTTCAGGTGATTTAAACTTCCCAATGTATAGAATTTCTGAAGCTTAAAAAAATATATCATTTTAGGAAGATTTTTCAGGCAATTTGTTGTCTTATTATGTGAATCTAGATAATGAATTATTTGGATCATTTATTTAGAAGACCTATTAACAATTGTTTGAGTTTCAAGATTATTGGCCTAATTTTTGTATACATTTTATGTAGGAGAAGGGGTATACTTAATTGGAATTTAAGACCAATCAATATCAATCTTTAATTAATTGCATTATTTTGAATCTTTTAATCCTTACATGACTTTAATATTAGTATAATGGCTTAGTCATTATGTGTTACTCATAATACGATTGGATAGTTTATAATTGGACTGAGTGAGAATGATACAATTTATCTATATGAATTATGGGTTGAGACGAATTAGACCACTCTCTTATTTCAAAAATTTGAACAATAATTTGCTGAATTTTTAATTACATTTAATAATGTAATAACTTTCTACACACTTAATGAAATTTAAATAATGACTTTGAATTTTGCTGATTTAATAATTATTAATTAAACATCTATTCGATATTTCCAACAGAACCCTTTCTAATATTTACTCCTATTTAAATAGCTGTGAATCCTTAATCACTGTCTTCATGCTTATTTATCAATAATATCAATAATGTCATTGTAATTGCTATCGATATAAATAATTAACCATTACCAGTTACAATCATATATTTTACATTCAAAATTACCTAAATAAATGTTATAAATACATAATTAGTTTTAACTTACAATTGCAATTCAGGTTTAGAAATTTGTTTTTAAGTTTGGAGCATCAAAAATATAAGATAATCTTTTTATCTTCAAAACATGATGAGTGTACTATATGAAAAAGATATATCAATCTTATCAGACAATTATTTCTTTTATGTTTAATTTTCAAATTAAACTGTATTAGTTTACAGTCCTCACTTACCTCAACATATGAGTTTATATTACTAACTCAATTTATCATTTCCATTGATTTGTACCTATTTTGTAACGACTGAAGAATCTTTGTTGTATTTTGAAAATAAGATCTATTCATTATTACCATCTCAACTATTTGAACTATAAGTAAATAAATCTCTAAACTTTGAACGATCTTACCCTTTAATTATATATAATTATACTGTTACTTCCTTATTAAATTAGAGTGCTATTTAATATACGCCCAATTTACAATATTCTAATAAATAACTACTAAAACCATAAATTTATCAATTAAAGATTTAAATTAATAAGATAGAACTTTCACAATTCCTATTAGAGTAATCCTTGATAGACAGGCAAGTCTCTGTTATTTTTCTAATAGCGATTAATTATTTAAACAATTAATACTTTACAAATGAAACATGCAATATAACTAATCTTGGGTACTCTACTTTAAAACCCAGCCTAAACTACACATTAGTAACAGGAGTAAATAACTAATTTTTTGTTTTTTAGAACAATACTAATATCTAAATTGTAGATTCATCGTTTAATTTTTAATAATCTTACAATTATTCTAAATTAAGGTTTACTGAATGTTTGAAATCAGCATCTTTTAATTTAACTTTGTCTTCCATATGTCAAAACAATACTGGCTAATATTGGCTTAGCATTTCCTTTGACTGTTTTGGAAATGTTTCAGATATAAACACATTTTCAATTCCTGGCATATTTACTAATATATTTAAAATTAACATTATATACAATCTAAATTTTATTTTAGTTTTTTTTTAATTCTACTAATCAAAGTTTGTATTTACTTAACTAATTAAACAACAGCATGCAATAAATTAGTTGTGATTCTAATAGTTCAGATTATAATAGATCATCCTGCAATTGTTAAGATTTTTCCGTAGCCCTTTATAATTTTGGCAACGAAAATAATTAGTAAATATCATGAATAAAATAGCCACCTATTTATATTTATATTTTGGAAATAATACCTCATTTTAATTAGAAAAATAAAATTCCTTTTTTCGATAAGGAAAATATTCCTTATTTAGACATGATTGTAAATAATAGGAAGATAAATATTCATCCTTATCACAAATAATGTTGGTTTAGGAGAATTGTATGTTTTTTTTTTGTTATAGAATTAAAACAGATTAAATTTATTTGATTTTATTACAACTATTCCAGGTTATGGTAATTTATTGCCAATATCAAATTCTATATATTCAAATGGTCTTCTACTTCAACAGTTTCAATAGGGAAATAATTATTTGATAGGAGTTTATTAAATTAGTAACTTCTATGATAACAATTTGGAAGATCCTCTTTTACTGTTAGGATCATAAACCTCTACATCTCTTGAATATGCCTTCATACGAAATATAGAGGACCAAAACGCTACATGTATTGCATTTAATAATGGATCATTATTATACTTTCCAATATATACTAGAATATTTAAATGCCATTATAGAAAGCGTAGAAATAGTGTACAAATGAATATTTTATGCTAAAATTAATATTCATCAGGATCTTATCAAATAACATTTATTCTTCCTGAATTAGAAATAAATAAAAGAGGATGGATTTTTTCATTAATTACAATAATTGCAATTCAATTAATAGGATTCTATATTTTAGTTAGATATAGAATGAGAAATTATGGTCATATAAATACCGAAATAGAATTTTGAAATATTATCATTAAACATAACATTTAAAATTTAATATTTATTATCAAATCTAAAATATCAGTGAATGAGGGATGTTGCTATTTTTATTTTAAAATTTCTTTAAATTGATAAAATAACTTTAATTAAATTAGTATCAGTTAAATAATTATTTCATTATAAAAATAATTATTTATATTTTATTTTATCTCGAATATTTCACTTGGATTAAAATAACAATAGATATTTTCTTTTATGATCTAATTACTGATTTTTTATATATTTAAAATTAATATAAGAAGGATAAGATTAAATAAGAGACTCTATCAAGATATTTAACTCTTTTAAAAATGAAATAATTATAATAAATTATTACTTTTTTCATCAAATCTAATATATTATTCAACAGATAGAAATAAAATACCCATACTATTATAGCTCAAACCAATCAATCAATAAACGATAATTTCTTATTTCTTTATCTTTGCCAAATATTAAATTATTTTGAATCAAAGATATTATATAATCTAATTAGTGAATTTAAGTATGGTAAACATAAATATATTATTATTTTAAGGTATACGAAATACAAGGAAGTTAGTTGTAAAGGATATTTCTTTAAGGAAGATTGTCAGACTTACAAGATTTTGTTGATAAAGTGATTTTAGTATAAGTTTAAATCTTTAACTTCACTTTTCATTGACATTAAAATTAACATTTTAGGTTATAATATTAGATTTAATTTCTTTGAGAAGAGCCTTCAATTAATCCTGAATTTTATGTTTATATTCATGGGAAAATAAAATATTAATAGAATTTGACAAAATCTGTTAATTCATATTCTTCTTGCTCAATACAAATTTTGAACATTTATCAATATTTATAAAAATCTAACTTCTTCCAAAAGCAAAGATTAATTGAAAAAAAATCCAAATAAAGAGAATGTTATATTTGAAATATGATTTAATCTATAAATTTAATCATGAATAACCTAACAAGAACTCCAATCCTAAACTATTATGTAAATAATGAATTACATTAAATTTCAAATCATAGTTTATTGATTTTTATTTTTCTTATTTATATAAGTATAGATTTATTGAGAATAAAATAAATAGACAAAACAAGCTTACATGATGTAGCTGTTTTAAAGAAATAAAACGAAAAGCTATTTATTGCTATCTTAAAATAAAATTTATCCTCCTTATATTTTATTAAATTATTGCCACTGATGAATCTTTTTTTATATATAAAGTAGATTATCTATTTTATTTTGTTATAAAGTATGGAGATATCTTTTTAATTATAACTTAATTTTATAAAAAAACAAATTAAATTCAATTGATTTATAATTAATTACACTAACAATTCATTTAAATTAGACCAATATAAAATTCTTTTCTATACTTTTAAGGAATTTTATAAATTTGCTAATAATAATAAATTAATATTATAGAATTAAAAATTAGCCTCATGTTTTATAATGGAAATTTAACAGAAATTAAACTTTTCATCATAACTTAATATTATTCTTATTTGTTTTAATTAATATCGATCTTTAGAAAATTAGGTATAATAAGAATTATAAAAATAAATTAGAAATTTGATTAATGAATTTTCAATTATCAAATATTTACTTTTTTAAATCATATAGTTTCTCTAAATTAAAAGAATAAACATAAATATTTAATTTTTCAAATTTTATTATCCATGATGTTTTTTGGATTTGCTTAGGAGTTTTCTTTGATTGTATCTATGGTTAAATGATAATTTAATATTGGATTCAATTTAACACTTGTGATCCTTTTAATTCTTTGAATAAATTTCGGGTGATATAAGGGTATATCTCTTTTTCAATCGAATTCATAAATTTCACTATAGCTTGGCTTTATTATGCTTCAGGAAACCAATATTTAATTGGATCCTCAAATCATATAAATTCTAAATTAACTCTATGTTCTAGTATAGTGGAACATTAATTCATTTTATATGAATCCTAAAATATATTATTTATCTTTCTAAATTTATCCAAAATGTAAAATTCTAAGTTTTTAAGTGATAATTTGAAAAAAAGTTATAAATATCATTAATTATTATTTTGTGTGGATGAATAATAATATTTAAATTGATCATGAAGTTTTATTTTTTTTTATTGTTAATTAAGACAACTGTTGGATCAATTAAATAACTTCAGCATCGGTTTAATTTAGCTATTGAAATAGATGTTCGGCAAAAACTTGTACTTATCTAGAGTTAGTTATTAGTTAATCTTTATTATTTAGTAGTTGTTATTGATTATGTAGTAATTAATTATAACTTTTCTTTAATTCAATCAATTGTATTTCCCTTTGAATATTTGATATCTCTTATTGAATTTAAAGTAATTCTTTTGCCTTTATTGATAAATTTTAGAGTTTTTTTATTACTTCTTTCAGATACCCTACACACATACCCCCTATATTAAGTATATTTCTATCATTATATTCCTTGGATATTTAATTGATTTGATTTTGTAATTATTCCTGCTTAATTAGAATCATTAAAATGCTTAAAGTATCACTATAGTTACTTTTAATTATTTTGTAATTGATCTAGTTGTTATTCTATTTCACTATCTTGTAATTACTTTTCACTTTATTGTAATTGTTGTAGATTAAATTTTAATTAACTTTGATTGATTTCTAAGTCACTCATATTCTATTTTAATTCTTATAAGTTCTTATGTAATTCTTTTTAATTTTTTTGTATTACATCATATTTTTATTATAATTGTTCTATTGATTCATTTATCTCTTTATTATAGTGATTTAACTCATCATCTTTAATTTGATTCAATTTTTTATCTCCTTCTTTTCGAAATAGTTAAATTTCCTAAATTGATTAGAATTAATTTGACATTTTCATGCCTTGTTGTTCAAATAAACATGACATTTTTACTAAAATTTCTGAACATTGCTAAAAGTATTTAAATTATTCAAACAATTATAGATTTTGGGCAATTTAGCCAAAATATGATTCAGTGATGACTTAAATATCTGAATTTATGTAGGGCTATTCCTTTATAAATGATTCATTTTATATTAGAATTTCTAGTTCAGCAAAAAAACTATAAGATTAATATTTTTACTATAATTCTAGTATAGTTTATAACCACTTCTCAATACTTTCAACTAACATTTATAGTTTATCTTGAGTAAAAGTTTGAAGCATTATTAAACTTTCTTACAATTATCTAACTTAGTCAAAATTAGAATGTAAATTGTTTTAAATTCTAAATAATTTTTTATTCTAATTTTCTTCAATCATCTTGATGACTTTAGCTATCCCTATCATTTTTTTATTTGATTCAAATTCAGCTAAGCATGATGGACATAAAAGTCTTTAATTGTTGTTCAAATTTTGG